GTATGTATATATATGCACCGCTCTCTTTGTTCTTTTTCCTCTTGCTCCTCAGAACTTTCACCTTGGGATCACTATCCTTCTGTTTAAAGTACATTATTTAGGATTTCCTTTAGAGAGGGTATACTGGTGGCAAACTCACTCAGGTTTTTTTTTTGTTTGTTTAAGGAAAGTTGTGTTTAATTTGCTATCATATATGAAATTCATATAGAACAGAATTGTCATTATAAACTGGAAAGGATGGATTATTAAATAAAAGATTTTGGGATAATAACTTTTAATCTAAAAAATTTAATCTGTACTTCAAACTATACACAAAAATAAAATCCTAAGAGATTAAAAAACTGAATTGGAAAAAAACCAACTCTTTAAAATTATCAGGAGACAGTGTGGGAAATACCTTTATTTTCTTCCCTAGGAAAGACTTCTAAAAGTGACACAAAAAGTAAAAACATAAAAGATTGTGAAATTTCAGCATAGGAGAGTTACACAGGTCTGTACAATTAAACAGGCTAAAGAACAAGTGATATACTGGAAGAATATATTTATAAATATAAAACAAATAAAGGATTAGTATCTTGAATATATAAAAAATCCCAAATGAATAAGGAAGAGTGTAATAGGTGGTGGGCATTAAGGAGGGCACTTGATATAATGAGCACTGGGGGTTATATGCAGCTGATGAATCCCTAATTTCCACCTCTGAAACTAATTTTAAAAACAGACAGGGCAGACCCGGTAGCTTAGCGGTTTAGCACCGCCTTCAGCCCAGGGCGTGATCCTGGAGACCCAGGATCGAGTCCCATGTCGGGCTTCCTGCATAGAGCCTGCTTCTCCCTCTGCCTGTCTCTGTCTCTCTGTCTCTCTCTGTCTGTAATAAATAGATAAAAAATCTTAAAAAAAAACAGACAAAAAAAAAAAACAAACCAAAAAACAAAACCAAACCCAGACCAAACCAAAACGAAACAAAAAAGAACTTCTCTGTCTTCTCTGCACAATGATTTCTATTAAAACTCTATGTTCAAACTTCCCAAATTGGCTGTTGATAGTGAAAGTTTGCTTAGGAAATGAAGATGCAATTTTTCTGTGGAGAAAATGTAATTCTCATATTTGTTTAGTAACGGGCTAAAAAGAGTTGGCTTTGAAACTCTAGACTGACAGCTAACTGCTTTAATCTCAGTTGTACTTGTTTTCCCCACTGAAAAGTTTAGACTTATTAGATTTAATGAGTGACAAGTTGAGAGACATAAGATATGCAGTGTATGAAAATATACCTGAAATTATTTTTGAAGTATTGTTCCAATTACATATGAAAAATTCCATTATCTTACCAGTAATTGGGAAATTGCATTAAAAATGAGATACTATTGGCAAACGATGTAAAGTTTGGTGATACTGTGTGATGAAAGACTTCTAGAGGCTGTTTAAATTGTTACAACCACTCTAGAGAACAATTTGACTCCATCTTATAAAACTGTAAATGTACAAGATCATACCACCCATATATACAGTTCCCAGGTGTATTTCCTATAGGAACACTTCCTCAGGTGCATAAGATGACAAGTGTGAGTATGTTTACTGGAGGATGTAATGTTAAAAGCTGTGAATACAAATATCCATTAATAAATTAATGAATAAGATATGGCATATTCATATGATAGAAACTGAAATCTTTAGGAGAAATGAACCATATAGATGCAGTTGACCCTTGAACAGTGAGAAGATTAGGGGTGCCAACCCCCACACAGTCAAAAATCTGTGTATAACTTTGATTCCCTCCAAATTTAACTACTAATAGCCTACTGTTGACTGGAAGCCTCAGTGATAACATAAACAGTCAATTTAATAATATTTTGTATATTATATGTATTATATGCTGTATTGTATAAATGAAGTAAAATATAGTAATAAAGTAAGCCAATGAAAAGGAAATGTTATCACAAAAATCATAAGGAGAGAAAATACTATATTATAGTTATCAGAAAAAAATTCACATATAAGTGGACCTCTGCATTTCAAACCCATGTTGTTCAAGGGTCACCTGTGTTTGTAGAGAATGATTTGTAAACAAAGTGGGGGGAAAAAGTAAACTGAAGAACATGATGCTAGTTATGTAAATTTAATTGTCTGTAAACATAAACATTGATTATTTATATTCATACATGTATACATGTAGCATTTATATATTGACTAGAATGATACCCAAAATCTTCTGGCAATGAGGAGTGAGGATAGGAAATGGAGATCAGATTACATTATCTATAATAATTTATTTTCTTTGGAGGAAAAAAGACATTAAACAAAGAAGAGCTCAGAAATAAGAGCTGCCAATTCTGGGTGGTGGGCCTATAAGTATGAAAAAATGCTTAATAATATATTAGACCAAATGTCTATGTTGTGAAGCTTAGTGCCTTCTAGTGAGTAGCCGTTCTTCTCACCCTGAGGAGAAACCAAGGTAAAGCCCAGACTACCATGAAATTCAGAAATACCCATTTGAGGAGAAGGTATTTGCAAATTACATATCTGATAAAGGGTTAGTATTCAAAATATACAAAAAACTTATAAAATTCAACAACCCAAAAACAAATAACCTGATTAAAAATGGATAGAAGACACCAATAGACATTTTTTCCAAAGAATACATACAGATAGCTAACAGACACATGAAAAGAAACTCAACATCACTTACCAGGGAAATGCAAGTCAAAACCACAATGAGCTATCACCTTACACTTGTCAGAATGGCTATAATCAACAACACAAGAAACAACAAGTGTTGGCAAGGATGTGGAGAGAAAAACCCTCTTACACTGTTGGTGGGAGTACAAACTGGTGCAGCCACTTGGGAAATAGCATGGCAGTTCCTCAAAAAGTTAAAAATAGAACTACCCTATGAGCTGGCAATCACATTGCTAGGTATTTACCCAAAGAATACAAAAATTCAAAGGGATACGGGCACCCTGATGTTTATAGCAGTATTACCTACAGTAGCCAAATTATGGAAACAGCCCATCTGTCCATCAACTGATGAGTGGATAAAGGATGTGGTGCATATGTACAATGAAATGTTATTCAGCCATCCAAAGACTGAAGTCTTGCCATTTGCAGTGACATGGATGGAGCTGAAGAAAATGCTAAGTGAAATAAGTCAGAAAAGACAAATACCATATGATTTCATTCATATGTGGAATTTAAGAAACAAAACAAAAGAGCAAAGGGAAAAAAGAGAGGCAAACGAAGAAACACTCTTAACTATAGCCAATAAGCTGATGGTTACCAGAGGAGAGATGGGTGGGGGGATGGGTTAACTGGTGATGGGGATTAAGGAGGGCACTTGTAAACACCAGGTGATGTATGGAAGTGCTGAATCACAATATTGTACGCCTTAAACCAATATTATGCTATATGTTAACTAACTGTAATTTAAATAAAAACTTGAAAAGAAAGATCTACCCATTTGATTGTTAAACTATAGGAGAACATGCCATTGTACAGTCTGCTTCTGTAATGAAACAATGTCATAACTTCTCCTTTCCTCTTTTTATTAAATATTATTTTCACTGTTTTTTTACATTCTAATTTTAGAAATATTTTCCAAAAACCTAATGCATTACATTTGTGTGCCATTTATTCATTTATTTATTAAGTACACATTTATCTTGGTTGACCAGGTTCAGGGAAAGGATTTTGGAAAGCAAAAAGAAAGAGAAAAAATTGGTGATCAGCCTTTATCCAAATATTCAAGACCTATATGAAGAAAATTATAATTTCTTTACTGCTAGTCAGTAATTTAATTTAATCTTTAATTATAATTAAAGATCAGAATAAATGGAGATGGCTATTATAATAAACAGGATCAATATATGATGTTGTAGTGGGCAGTGTGATGTGCCACCCAGATTCCTCTTCAATGAGAATTGTTTCCATAAGTGCTAGGAATGCTACGGACAGACAGACAGCTTTCAGTTGTCATCCCTTTGGAAAGTGTCTCAGCTGAAGAAAGTGGCCTTGCCTTGGGCTATGATTCTTCCCAGGTTCCTCACACCCAAAGGCTGATTGATCAGGGAATTGGGCTATTTTAGCCTTTCCTGAGACAACTGTGACCATTCTAACTCCAGAACTTCCGAAGAGTTTGTTGACGCTGTCTCTAGATCTGCAGCACTTCAAGGTAGCTCTCTCTTTCTGCTTTTATTTGGCCTCTTTTTCACAAAGCTCTTCTTAATAAATATTGTGCATGCTAAAAAAAAAAAAAAAGATTGGTGACCAGAAACACCGCCAAGGACACTGAGGAATTCATACAGGCAAATCATAATTACAAAGGGAAGGAAAAACAATGTGAAATGGAGAGGAAGGACAGATGCATTAGGAGGTGATAAAAAAAAAAAGGGGGGATATGGGGCAGCCCGGATGGCTCAGCGGTTTAACACAGCCTTCAAGCCCAGGGCATGATCCTGCAGATCCAGGATCGAGTCCCGCATTGGGCTCCCTGCATGGAGCCTGCTTGTCCCTCTGCCTGTGTCTCTGCCTCTCTCTCTCTGTGTCTCTCATGAATAAATAAATTAAAAATGACATGAATTTGAAGCAAGTGTACGGGTGAAATAATAGGGTTGGCTGAAGATGGCAGAGGTGGAAGAAACAGCTCATGCAGCCAACACAGGCAAGGGATCTAAGAATTCATCCTTGGCTATATGGGATCTACTCTCCGTGCTAAACTAAAGGCCCTTACCAGAAGGAATCTATCTATCTATCTATCTATCTATCTATCTATCTATCTATCTATCTATCTATCTATCATCTATCTATCCATCCATCCATCCATCCTTGCCTGCTACCAGGCAAGGCATTTTAGCTAAAGAAACAAAACAAAAACTAACAAAAACAAAAACCGTAGCTGCCCACTGTCTACCACGAAGGTGCTTCATGTTTGAGGGGCGGAATGTGCTCACAGTGCGTCACGGAGGATCACTAGTGCCTGAAGCCCGCTGAGAGACTGCGGGAGCCGTTCATTCCTGGAACAGGCGTCTCCGGGCCTTGGGGGAGGGTCCTGGAGGGCGCTGGGGGCGCACGTGGGGACCTGGACTCGGGGAGGGCGGTAGAGGTTGGAGCGGCGAGCCGGGGAAGGGCTCCAGGAGGTGGGGGTCCAGGTCGAAGTAGCGCAGAGGAGAGAGCCTCTTTGGACCAGGGCCGGGGGCCCACGGCCGGGGCTGTGGCGCGGGGCCCCGCGGGCGCGGCCCGGCCGCCCTCCCAGCGCAGGCCCGCAGCTCCGGCGCCCAGCCGGCCGTGGGGCCCGCCCGCGGCGGCGGGAGCTCGGGGTCGGGGTCGGCGTCCTCCGCACAGGCCTCCTCCTGGGCGGCCACGTCTGGGACAGACGCGCAGAAGGCCTCGTGCTGGCCGGCGGCTTGGTGCCCGGGCGCGCTCGGGACGGCGCCCTGCTCCGGGCCGGCAGGCGGGTGGCCCTGGCCCCCCGCGCGCAGGAGGGCCTCGGGGACCAGCAGCAGAGTGAGGCCCCCGAGGGACACCTGCAGGACCGACGTGGGCTCGGGCTCGAGCACCAGGTCGACGTCGTCCAGGAGCAGCTGCAGGGCAGAGCCGGCGGCCAGGACCACGACGGAGGCGAGCGCGCCGGCGGCCGGGGGCCCCTCCATGCCTTGCGGGCCCTCGGGCTCCGGGGTGCGGCGGCGCTTGGCCGGGCCGGGTCCTCCGCGCGGCGGTCCCCAGCAGGGCTCGGGGTGGGCGCTGGGGCTGCGGGGCCGGCTGCCCATCACCGGGCCGGCGCTGCGGGCGGCGCTCCCGGGGCCTGGGTCCCGCACGCGGTGCCAGGTCTGGACGCCAGGGGAGGCGGCGGGGGGCGCGGGGCGCGGGGCGCCGCGGCCCGAGCGCCCGGGACTCCGGGGGCGCCTCCCGGGGGGCCCGCGGGGCGGGGGCTGGTGCGCAGCCGCGGTCTCCAGGCTTTAGAATCTGTGACCCTCCCACCGACCTGAGGGCCCTGGGTTAGGAATAGACACCAGGTGACGGGAGGGGCGGTCCCCACGGAAGCCCCGCCTCCTCGCCAAAGGAGATTACGTCTAGCGCCGCGCAATAGCAGGTTTTTTAAGGAAAGGAAGAAAAAGCTCTTGGTCTTTTGGGGCCTTCAACTAAATGAGCCATTCTACCTGTTCTTGTGGTTTGATTTTTCTATTCTGTTGCATTAAATGTCTAACCGGAGGCAATTTCACACAATTAAGGCTTTTAATCAATACTTTACATTTGATACATTTAGTACATAACAATTAATACAATATTAATTAAATTGCTATATCTTCTTAATAAGGGTTATTGGTCTACAAAATCTTTGTTTATGCTTATTTTTGAAAGATAGTTTCATTAAGTGAAAAATCCCAGGTCAAAAAATTGTTTTCTAGTATAATACTCTGCTGCTGTTATGTGTACCGGCTTCCACTGTTGGTTTTGAAAAGCGAGTTGTCTGATTGTCTTCACTGTAGTTGCTTTTTCTTTCTGTTTACAAAAATATTCTCTTTGAATTTGTGGGCTTACAATAATCTGTCTAAACACGTATTTTTACAGTTTATCAATCTTGAAAGTTATTGTGCTTCCTGAATAAAGCTACTGAATTATATCCAGAACTATGTATATTCTTGGAAATGCTTCTTTTTTCCTGTCTTCAGTGCTGAAAGTCTTGCTACTGCCATCTGCCATAGGAACATGAAGACTAATCTCATTATGCCTTTTACTTTTGTTTATGGTAAGAATCCGTTCATCCCTCGTACCCCAGATTAAAATCTTCAGACACTCAGTATATGGTATTTTCTCACTGCCTCCTAGCCTTCTACATCTCCTTCATTTTTTAATTTTGCCTTCTGGAGCTCATAGTTAACCACAGTCAAAAATCTTGAACTTCCCTGATAGTCTCTTTACCTTTCTGCTATAATTGAAACCTCATTCTTCTAAATAGTATGATTTCCCTGGAGGCTTTTGGAGTGGAGCCTGTGTTTTCTCTCACACTCTTCGTACACATGGCTAGAGGTGTGGTATATGTTCTCCTTGCTCCTCATTGATGCTTCCAAACCATTTATCCATCCTTCCTGAGTTTCATGTCATCAGAGTGTAACCAGCCTCTAATCATTCTTAGTGTAGTCCTCTACTCTCCCAGCTCCAGGGCTCGTCTCCTTCTCTCCTTAAATATTTTTTACTCTTGGCTTTTTGTCACTCCTCCCATATTGATGCTCTCATAATTCTTGGTGATTTCAAAAACACCCTTTAGATGTTCTTCCAAAACACGGGTATTATCTCCATCCTGTTCCACTCCCATGCAATCCAGACTCCTCTATTTCACATCCTCTTCAATATCTCCACTTGGTTATGTAACAGGCACTTCACACAACACATGTTCAAAATTGAATATATCTTATTTTTTCTATATCTGTTCCCCTCAAGGTCTTTCCAAATCTTAGAAGATAACAATTCTATCCCTTTTATACTGAGGCCCCAAACCCTCAAGTTTTCCTTTGTGTTATCCTTGACTTTGTCCCACCTTTCGCTTTAAGAAAGTCCAATTTTCTCTGGGTGCCTGGGTTGCTCAGTTTGATTGAGTATCTGACTCTTGGTTTTGGTCTAGGTCATGATCTCAGGATCATGGGATTCAGTCCCGAGTCAGGCTCTGCGCTGGTCATGGAGCCTACTTAAGATTCTCTCTCTTTCTCTGCCCTTCCTCTGCTCAGGTGCCCTCTCTCTCTCCCTTGAATAAATAAAATCTTAAAAAAAAAAAGAAATCCAGTTTTCTCTATGTTCAAAATATTTCCAACTACATGTTGCTTCATACCACTCCTCTTATGACTACTTTAACGTAAGGCAGCATTATTTCCTGTGTGAATTATTGTACTCCATGAAGGCAGTGACTTTTAACTGTTTTATCCTTAGCCGTAGTCTCAGAGTTTGGAAGAGTGCCTAGTACATAGCTGGCACTTAATATACATTTGTTGAATGAATGAAAGAATGAATGATTTTCTCTGTCATCACATCTGGAGAATTCGCATTATTTCTGTGAATAATGCTACTTCCCTATTCTCTCAATTCTATCACCAAAGGTCGTGTAAAACTGCTCTCTTTCTGATAATGTTTCTTTGTCTCTCTTTTCTATTTTATGTTTTTACCGTCCTTAGTTTTATGGATGATTTATCTAGTCCAGTATTTCCATTTTCAATTCTATCTACATTGTTGTTTAACCCATTTATTGTATTCTTTTTTACTTCCATGTTTATATATTCAATCCTTAGAAGTTTTCTTTAGTTCTTGTTTAAAGCTGCCGTATTTTTGGGTATTTTTTCTTGGTTACTTTTATGTTGCCCCTTTTTGTGTCCGTAGTCAAATTAAATTCATTTAAAAATACTTTTAGGGGTGCCTGATGGCTCAGTTAACCAACTGAGTCATATACCTTTGGCTCAGGTCATGATCCCAGGGTCCTGGGATTGAGCCTTACGTCTGGCTTCCTGCTCAGTGGGAAGCCTTCTCCTTCCTCTCCCTCTCTGTTCCCCCTGCTTGTCCTCTTGCTCTTTCTCTGTCAAATAAACTCTTTAAGGAAATATTTTTATATATGATAATTCATCAACCTCTATGATTTGAAGAACTGATTCTCCTTTTTCTTGTTTTGGATGTCATCTATTCTCACTTATGGTGGGTTGTTTGCTTATATGTTCTTTGATTTGGGGGAGGTTGTACCTTTTTTAAAATTTAAATTCATTTAGTTAACATATGATGTATTATTAGTTTCAGAGGTAGAGGTCAGTGATTCATCAGTCTTATATAATACCCAGTGCTCATTACATCATGTACCCTCCTTTTTTTTTAAATTTTTTTTTATGATAGTCACAGAGAGAGAGAGAGAGAGAGAGAGAGAGAGAGAGAGAGGCAGAGACACAGGCAGAGGGATAAGCAGGCTCCATGCACTGGGAGCCCGACGTGGGATTCCATCCCGGGTCTCCAGGATCGCGCCCTGGGCCAAAGGCAGGCGCCAAACCGCTGCGCCACCCAGGGATCCCTCATGTACCCTCCTTAATGCACATCACCTAGCTACCCCATCCCCCCCCCTGTCCCCTCCAGGGACCCTCAGTTTGTTTCCCATTTTAAGGAGTCTCTTATGGTTTGTCTCTTTCTCTGATTTTATAAAAAGATTTTATTTATTTATTCATGAGAGATATACAGAGAGAGGCAGAGACATAGGCAGAGGGAGAAGTAGGCTCCCTGGGGGGAGCCTAATGTGAGACTTGATCCCAGGACCCAGGGATCACACCTTGAGCCAAAAGCAGTTGTTCAACCACTGAGCCACCCAAGCATCATTCCTTCTCTGATTTTGTCTTGTTTTATTTTTTCCCGGATTTGTTTCTTTTAGTAACCAGAGTCATGCTGTACCTATTGTTCCTTGATGTGTTTGTTGGAGATGTTCTCAGCCTAGGACACTCCTTTTATCCATTATGTATATTCCAGAGAATTAGTGTTACTATTTGGGTTGCTTCATTCTGCTGTTATAACTATGCCCACTTTTGTGCACAAACTTTAGTACAGGAGCTGGAATTTGAGGAGAAGGGTGTTAGTTTGAGTACTTGTCAATCTAGGGTGAAGGTATGTTGGCATTGAGCAGGTGGCTGGCAGTAGGTACTGACTTGGCAGGAGGGCAGCTGGACTATGGATTTGGGACCCACAGGCTGATGGCATCGTGTGTGACAGGGACGTGGCTGGTTTTGCTCCTGGTCATGACTTTCTTTAACTTTTGTTTTTCTGGGAAACTCTATCTTTCCTTCTATTCTGAATGAAAGCCTTCCTGGGAGTATTCTTGGCTGCAGATTTTTTTCCTTTTAACATTTTTAATATATCATGCCGTTCTCTTCTGGCCTGCAAAGTTTCTGTAGAAAAATCCACTTATAGCCTTATGGGGTTTTCCTTGCAGGTAACTGCTTTCCTTTCTCTTGCTGCTTTTAAAATTCTTTATCACTAGTTCTGGCCATCTTACTTACTTTGTGTCTTAGTTCTTCTTTGGGTTGATTATTTTGGGGGGCTCTCTGTGCCTCCTGGATCTAGATTTCTCTTTCCTTCCCCAGATCAGGAAGTTTTCAGCTATTATTTCTTCAAGTAAATCTGCCCCCTTTTCTCCCTCTTCTCTTTCTGGGATCCTTATTGTGCAACTGTTACTATGCTTGACAATGTTACTGAGTTCCCTGAGTCTATTCTCATTTTGCATGTTTTTTTCTCTCTCATCTGCTGAGCTTGATTACTTTCCATTACTCTGTCCTTCAGGTTGCTGATCTGTTCTTCTACTTCCTCTTGTTTGCTATTTATTCCAGGAGGCCTATTTTTAATTTCATTTAGCAAGTTCATTATCTGTAATTGGTTCTTTTTTAGGTTATCTATCTCTTTGTGGAGGGTCTCATGGAAGTCCTGCACTCCTTTCTCAATTCTAGCAAGTATCTTTATGAGTATTACTTTAAATTCACTATCAGACGTACTACTTATCTCCATTTGCATAGGTCTCTTGCTATGACTTTGTTCCATTCCTTCATTTGGAACATATTCCTATGTCTCCTCATTTTGTCTATTGCTGTGCCTGTTTCTATGTGTTAGGAAAGTGAGCTATATCTCCTGCACATGAAGGCAGTGACTTTATGAAGAAGAGATCCTATAGTGCCCCCAGTGCAATGTCTCCTTTTTACCAGAAAATGATGCTACAGGGGCGTTTCCCATGTGTGTTGCTATGAGGGTGTCCTACTGTTGG